ACTTTCTTACGAAGAATATGTAACGCTGTGAAGCGTATGTCGTTCGTGACCGGAAAGTACCGGGTGCGTGGCGATTAATGCAAGGAAAAAAGCGCAAGATAGATGACAATTATGGTTGTGGGACAAAAAGGCACCCTTTTTTACTTGATCTTTTCTTAGCGTGCTCAGTGACATTTATTCGTCATGGAAATGTTGTGTACAAAATAAAACAAATGGGGAAAAACTGTGTCTTTTTTTTCAAATAACAGGGCCTGTTGGATATCAATATTGTTGTTAGAAAGAACTGACAGGTTTCTATACTGTGGTCATTAATGTAATGTGAATCATTTTTAGACAACATGCTGATTGTTTTTTTAGGGGCGAAGCTATTTAAGGCGTGGGTCTTGCGTCTCCTGTATGTAGGTGTTCTGTGGTAGCCACCTCTCGCGTTAGACCTTGGGATGTCCGCGAGATGGCGGTACTGGTATATGATGAACAGACATAGGGTATATTAACATGCAGGGTGGTAGGAACAGGCTGAAGTGGGAAGAGATAGAAGAACATCTAAGGGAAGAGAGGCCGATGGTATACGGTTTTGTAGAAACACATCTCAGGGACATGGAACAACCTCCGAACAATCCGGACTACGCGTGGGAATATTGTAATAGAACAGAAGGCAGCAGAAAGGGGGGTGGTATTGGGGCATTCATTCATAAAAGTACAGACTGGCAAAGGGTCAAGCAGGAGTGCAAGGAACATTTATGGCTAAAAGGGAAAGTGGCAGGTCAAATGACACTCCTTGGTTTCGTGTACTTGTGGACGGGAGCAAAGGCCAGAGAGGAAAACCAGACAATGGTAGAGTGTATATCAAAGGACATTCAGGAGTTAGGAAGAGAGTGCGAGATAATTATACTAGGAGACATGAATGCGCACATAGAAGATATAGATGAGTATACCGACCCGACAGGCAAAATGATCATGGATATGTGTGAAAGGCTTGATTTGATCATTTGCAACAGTACCGAGAAGTGTGAAGGGCAAATAACATGGGAGGTAGGAAGGCTTCAGTCGACGATAGATTATGCACTGATGTTGCATAGGATGTATGATAAGCTCAGGGGAATGCACATAGATGAAGGTGGCTCCAGAAGTCTGGGTAGCGATCAGAAACGTATCAAGCTAAGTTTTGGAAGAGCAGTGAAAGTGGGAAGAAGACAAGATGAGCAACTACAGGAAAATTTTTATCCAGAAAGGCAAATTGAAATAGCCACTAAACAAATTGAGAAAGTAATCACGGAGGATAATAAGACAGTGTGGACATACACGAATCTAATTAGACTCTTTGAGCTAGAGCTTGCTAAGACGCGTGACAAGTCACCCAGGAAAAGAAGACACAAACCCAAAAGTTGGCGGGATGAGGAAGTTAAGAGAGCCATAGCAAAACGTCAGGAAGCCTCTAGGGAACACAGACATGCTAAGCAGCGGGGTGAACCGACAGATGATGTTGAAAGAAAATGGGAAACCTTTCTAAGCTGTAGAAGGGATGCATCCCTTCTGATCAATGAAAAGATTAGAAGAAAGGGAGCTCAGTGGCTGGCAGAAGTACATAAAAAAGATAGAAAGGCAGCTGCAAAATTTCGGAACCATCTAAACTCCCTAAGAAATGAGACAAGCCTAGAGCAGAGTTTTATAACTACAGCCCAAGGTGCTAGGCTAGAAGGGGACGAAGCTATTGAATATATAAGAACAAAGGTTACAGAAAAATTTCAACAAAGAAGTACTTTATGCACCACAATAGACAAGGACGATTCAAGTGGTGCAATGGCTCCATTTTCACAACGAGAGTGGGAAAGGGCTGAGAAAAGAGTTCCTAGTAGTACATCAACAGGCCCAGATGGCATTCCAATTAGGCTCATAAAGACATGAGGTCCGAAGTCTAAGCAGGCTTTGAGAGAGGCAGTGAGCACAATAATAATCGATGGTGAAGTTCCCGATGGATGGAAACTAAGCAGGAGGAGCATGATCTATAAAGGAAAGGGGGACAAAGCTGACATAAACAACTACCGTCCTATAACAGTGACATCAGTGGTCTACAGGCTGGCGATGCAGATTATAAAGGAAAGACTGCAGGCGTGGATAGAGGATGAGGGGGTGCTGGGGGAACTGCAGAATGGGTTTCGGAAACACAGGAGGTTGGAAGACAATCTGTTCTCACTGACGCAGTGCATCGAAATAGCAGAAAATGAACACAGGCCCCTGTGGCTAGCATTTTTGGATATCAAGGGAGCGTACGATAGCGTGGTTCAAGAGGAATTGTGGGGAATACTGGACACACTAGGCGTGCAACATGTAGTCACTAATCTTTTAAAGGGTATCTATAAAAGTAACTAGGTAGTTATAAAGTGGGAAAAACAGGTATCCAAGCCTGCGGAGGTAAAACGGGGGCTTAGGCAGGGGTGTCCCTGGTCACCCTTATTATTCATGATGGACCTACAAGGATTAGAGGCAAAATTAGAGGGAAGTGGACTGGGCTTCAACCTCTCTTTAGTCAAACAAGAAAAACTTATTGATCAGACACTACCAGCATTAATGTACGCAGATGATATAGTGCTAATGGCCAACAACAAGGAAGATTTGCAGAGATTGATGGACATCTGCGGTAATGAGGGAGATAGGTTAGATTTTAGATTCAGTAAGGAAAAATAAGCAGTCATGATTTTCAATGACAACAAAGGTAGTGAGCTTAGAATACAGGAGGTCACACTAGAGATAACAGATAAATACAAATATCTGGGCGTATGGATAAGCAATGGGACTGAGTATCTGAGGGAACACAAAATATACGTGACGACTAAAGGTAAGAGGAATGCAGCAGTCATGAAAAATAGGGCACTGTGGAATTACAATAGGTATGATGTTGTGAGAGGAATATGGAAAGGGGTCATGGTTCCTGGGCTGACGTTCGGCAATGCGGTCTTGTGCATGAGATCAGAAGTTCAAGCAAGATTAGAAATTAAGCAACGTGGAATAGGTAGGCTTGCTTTAGGAGCTCACGGGAATACACCAAATCAGGGAGTACAAGGTGATATGGGATGGACATCATTTGAGGGCAGGGAAGCTAGCAGCAAGATAAAATTTGAGAAGCGATTGAGAAAAATGGGGGAGGAGCGTTGGGCTAGGAAGGTTTTCAGCTACTTGTACATGAAGAATGTCGATACAAAATGGAGGAAGCGAACCAGGAAGTTGACTGGTAAATACCTAGAAAACATCAAGTGGCCAAACCAAAAAGAACTATCGGTTAAGAAGAAAGTGAAGGAAACGGAGACTGACATGTGGAGAATGGGCATGATTAAGAAGTCCGCACTAGAGATCTATCGAACTTTTAAGCAGGAAATTGCCAAGGAAAGGATCTATGATAATACTCGGGGTAGTTCTCTACTGTTTGAGGCCAGGACGGGAGTACTGTGAACCAAGACATATCGGGCCAAATACGAAGGGGTAGACACAGTATGCAGTGCGTGTGGAGAGGAAGAAGAAACTGCCGAACACTTGATAATGTTCTGTAAAGGGCTTCACCCTATAGTTCAGGATGATGGCGCAGAGTTTTTCAAAGCACTGGGGTTTAGGGACCGGGAGGGCAAAATAAACTTTAAGCGGGTAGACTTAACTAGAAGGAGGTTATCTGATTGGTGGCTAAAGTCAAAGCACGAGTGAAAATTAAACTCTTCACTGCAAAGTACGAATCCTCAAACTCACTTTTTAAGGGAAAAAAATAAATATAGTTTTTGGTTCATTAGGTATTACGGCTTGGTGGCGCTAGCCACCGCCCGATCTGAAGGGTACAGCCATATCCATCCATCGAATAAATGACGAAAAAAATGTGAGATGGCGGTACTTGGAGTGTTCACCAGATGGACAGACAGACGGATGGACAAATAGGCAGATGGACAGGTGGACGGACAGAAAGGCAGACGTACGTACGGACGGACGGACAGACAGACAGATGGTTGGACGTGGCCAGCGGATTATTCCCGGTTTGCCGATAAAACTCTTGCTGTTCTCTCATTATCATTCACTGCGTGCATATGCTGTGATTTTTTTATTCTTATGAGAGTCAAGCACCTGTCGTCTCTATACTTGAAGGCGGGCGTACTATGTCATTGCGCTGCTGAATTTTCAACGCTTATGTTTCTCCTATTGAAGAACTAATGCGAGCACCAGCGGTAATGCTGAAATGGACGATCAGGCATATACAAGCCGACGTGTTTCCTGACGATCAGGTTATCAATCGTGGACGACCGACGATGGTGCTCGCCACTATGGTTATACTGCACAAGTTACTTTTTTGTACTTTAAAGATTGATTTTGCTGGGCACAAGTTAGGCTCAACAGCTGCAGCAGTGGGGGGGGGGGGGGCGCTGCTGACACGCGAAAGTCGAAGGTCCAATCCTGGCCGCGGCGGTCGCATTTCGATGGAGGCCAAATCCTAGCGCATCGTGTATACGTATAATTAGACAGCGGCGTAAGTCACGTGAAGTCGGGGTATATTCTTCAGCACTCTTGTGTTCGGGCTGAAGAAGGTCACGTGCACCATTGAGATTTACATCCTATATCCTAATAACACTGCTATACTCGAATGCATCGTTTGATATCATATATGTGGTCATTAGTGATATCGTACAGAACATTTCCGATTCAAAAATTTTAGCATCTGTTTACTCTGTTGTTATAACTGTGTTCCATACGCCTGTAAAACTGTATTGAAACTGCAACTGCTGTTCAACCGGTTTGCGGGGATGTTAAGAAACTGTGCTCGTTATAATTTTTTTAATCTAAAATCATCGTTTATTTTGTATCATTAAAAGTAAAACCTATATTTATAAAAGCAGCTGGGCCACCATAGCAAAATGTACATGTATACCCCCCCCCCCCCCCTTCCTTGCGTTCTTTCTGTATTTGCTCCGCTTGACCGCAGTCTTTCGTAATGAGACGTACAACTTTCTCTTGGCCAGTACGCACTATAGGGATGTTGAAGTGACGTTTATTGGCGGCGCTGCATTGTGGACGGTAGTAGCTAGGCCAGGGTCTCCTTGGCGGGCATCGGGTGCGTTGAACTAAGCAGTCCTGTGCTGTCGCAGGAAGTTCGACCGTAGTTCCCGGCGAAGATACTGGCCCGTTGGAGTCTTTGGAAGGTCGGATACGAACTCCAGGCCACCATGTAGCTGCATTGCGTGCTCCACTTGCTCTGCAAGTGTAATAATTAGAATTGTGTATTTTCTGCAATGGTCAGCAGCGGTTAAGGTGCTCGGCTGTTGTCCCGAAGGTCGTGGGTTTGATCCCGGTCGCATTTCGATAGAGGCAAAATGCTAGAGACCCGTGTTCTGTGCGATGTGTGTGCACGTTAAAAAACACCAGATGGTCGAAATTTCCGGAGACCTCCACTTCTATCAATCTATACTGTGTTTTTGGGACGTTGAACCCCGGGTAGTATTACGATTTTTTGCAACGCCACTTTTGTTCCTTTATTGTTGCGGTAAAACAGTGCTATATACTATAGCACCATATTGCCACCGATGTGGCAGTTGCTATTTTTGTGGTCGCGTAGCACCGGTGGGCATTTTCGCGCAACGTTTCCACTTCATGTCCCCGTCTATAGACCATTTTCACTGGGAGAGGAGGAGGGTTTTGGCAACTCACGTTTTCCTTCTTCCTGGCTCGTGGAAACGGCTCAAAGTGCAGACCTGAGCCTACGCACACGTTGTAGCGTGTCAGAGCGTGGCTTCCTGACGTGGCGCCGCGCCCTCTTCCTATGGAGAGAAAGGGCGCGCAACTTGACTTAGCCGCGCGCCCTTTCTCCCAAAGGGGACAGGACATTTCGCCGCGTCGAAGAGCCTCTCGCGGACACGTGTCGACGCGTGCGTTTGGTGAGACCTTGCGCGTGCGCGCAAAACGGCTCGTCGGAGTGCGCGTGGCCACGCAAAGGCGAGCGTCAGTGACTGCGCTCCCGTCAGCGTAGTACCATTGTCAGAGTCAGGGGGCCCGTCAGCCTAGCGTAATCGTAATAGAGACCGTTATTAAGACCACTCCAGAGTGATCTTAATAACATTTCAACATGGTGTAAGCTCTGGGTAATGGACCTTAACACGTCTTAATGCCGTACAATGAGAATTTCTTGTAATAGTTCGGCATGTCCTACTTATTTCCTTAATAATCATTCGCTCGATCAAGTCATGTCCTATAAATATCTTGGCGTGTGTATTACTAACAATTTCTCATGGAAGACACATAGAATACATTACATCGAAAGCTAACCGCATGCTTGGTTATTTAAAACGAAACTTCTCTTTAGCTCCACTGAAACTAAAACAACAGCTGTACGTACATTACTTATGTCAAATCTAACCTTGAATACGCATGCTATATATGGGATCCTGGTCATGCTAGTCTGACAAACTTAATTGAAAACGTACAAAATCGAGCAGCCCATTTCATCCTTTCACAACTGTAAGCGTCACTAATATGAAACAAACACTTGACCATTCTTTCTTCTCGTAGGAGGCCATCCCATCTTTGCCTTTTTCATAAAATGTATTATCATAACCAAGAGCAGAAGTCTCCATACTTCCCATCTGCATCTTATATCTCCCCACGTGTCGATCACCCTTTCAAAGTTCACATATTTTCACAGCGCACAGTCACCTACTTATTTTCATTCTTGCCAAACACGTCATGAGTGGAATCGCTTGCTACGTCGCTATCAGAGACACAGACCGTTTCAGCAAGGCACTAATAAACACACTACAAAGCTGCATCATGCTCACAATGGCATTTACCACTTAATTGATTGATATGTGGGGTTCAACGTCCGAACACCATCATATGATTATGAGAGACGCCGTAGTGGAAGGCTCCGGAAATTTAGATCACCTGGGGTTCTTTAACGTGCGCCCAAATCTGAGCACACGGGCCTACAACATTTCCGCCTGCATCAGAAATGCAGCCGCCACAGCCGGGATTTGATCCCGCGACCTGCGGATCAGCAGCCGAGTACCTTAACCACTAGACCACCTCGGCGGCGCCATTTACAGCTTACTGCATTTACAATTAATTGTTCGTTTACCACCTATTTGTACGCAGGTCTTTATCTTAACATTTCATTTTTTTGCCTTGTTACTATGCGCTGATCTTTTTTTTCTTGTTGTCATTCGACAAATTTGCTTTTTCACACCTTTCCCCGTATCATTCTCTTTTGCACCTCTATTTACGCATGAAAGGACATCAGTCGATTATTTTGGTTCAGTATGCATTGCTATTCACTGCAGTTGCTACGTCATAGTGTATTCTTGCGTCCTATTTTTGTTAGTTTATGTATAATCTTATCTTGTTTGTTACCTTTCGCGCTCTATTTCATAGTGTCATATTTTCACTTTCCATGTAACATATTCTCACTACTTTTCTTTTTATGTGTGCTACTTATATTGTTTTCATTTACTTCAGCTCCTCTCCTCTATACAATGCTTCTAGTAAGCCCTGCGGGTATCAATAAATAAATAGCGACGCAACTATAGCGACGTGCCCCGTCACTGTAAAGCAATAACTACGGTGATGGGGTCCGTCGAACTAGTGTATATATGGAGGGGGACCTTTGCCGTAAGCACGTATAGTTGCTTTAGACGCCATCGTCATGCGGTTGTGGTGACGTATAGTGGGTTGACGCCAAGTTAGGGAAGCGGTCGTGCCACAGGTCATCAGTTCGAATTCCCGTTTTGTTAAGTTTCTATCCTTCTGGATAGTGCCCAGTGTAACGCCCAGTGCGCCAGTGTAACGAACATGGCGAAGCACTGTTCGATGCCGATAAAAGCAGATGTAGTCGTGCACCCGTCAAAGTCTACTTGAAAGAGCCTCAGTAACGGCCTGCCAGCGCGCCTCTATATTATTTTTTGCGTAACAGGTTTTTCTTTTTTTTCTCTCTCTCTCTCGTAAGGAATAACCAGGCAAGTTTCAGCACAAAATAAATGCTTGATTTTAAGCTTATTTGAGCCGGCTTGTAACATGAAATTGACAATAACGAATGAAGGAATCAAAAAGTCAATCAATTACAACAATTAATATTTAATTATGAGAGCTATACACTGGTTGCATATGCCATTGCTAAAATTTTTCGCGGACATCATTTTTTCCCCTTCCTATGTTGGTCCAAGTTAGCTGGGACGCCTTGCATATACGGGAACGGAACTTCAAAGGAACACTGGCAGTAAGATATATTGCACCACCAACTCGATATAGCCTGGAAAGCACAGATAAGGAAAGAAAGTAAGAAAGTTCGTTTATCACGCCTATCAAGTGCTGTTTATTTGTGATAAGTGTGTTTCTTCTAAGTGTTTTGTATTTCCACAAATTGCTTAATTTGATCGTCGACGGTACGAATACGGTGGCGCATGAACACGTTTGCTGAAAATACATACTAACCACCTGGGGTGCGGGAAATTCGGCTCAAACCTGATAGCTCCCTGCAGGGACGTAGTGTGGTTGTTAGCTTCAAGCTTACCAAACTACACCATACCAGTAGCGATCAGTGACTTGAAAAAAATTGAACAGTTCCGGAATCTCGCTCTAATTAGGCATCATTTACACTCAAGCTTACCGCATTGAAACAAACTGCCCACACACCTAACATAACCTAGCCTAAACTAAGTTTTTTTTTATACTCGCGTCCCTTGCCTAATGAAAACATTCCATATACCTACCGTTGCACTGTGATCTCTCGCACTCTAGTGTTGACGTGACTAAATACATCCATGATATAGGGACACCCTTCCCTACTCCTTATAGGACCTTTGTAACATAGCCCATTTACCCATCTCCATGTGAGTCCCTAAATTTGATTGAAAGAAGTGCACTGAAATTATTTCACTGAAACGAAGCTCTTCTGAGCACTGTGCGACGTAAGCACGCACCGGAGACGTGCAGAAGCAGCTCTTGCGCGAGTGCGTCGTCAGCGCTGACGCCCTGGGCGAGCACGACGAAGGCCCTGGGAACCTCGCCCATCTGCTGGTGCGGGATGCCCACAACGAGCGCCTCGGCGACAGCCGGGTGGCTCAGCAGGAGCTCCTCCAACTCGGCCGGCACCACGTGCACGTCCAGGCAGCGAATCAGGTCCTTCACTCGCTCCACCACGCACACGTTGCCGTCTTCATCGAAGTGGCCCACATCCCCTGCATAGGTTCACTGGTGAAGGTTTTATTTCTCTCTTTGAGTGCCCTCTGGGGGAACAAGTATTTCTGTAAGACGTGTCTCGACGTGACCCTTTGTCAGCGCAGTGCGCACTGGAACAATGGAAAAGGGGGCTCGTGAACCGTATGCGGTAGGAGGGCCATTTTTTTAAATGCGAAGCATTTCTTAGCGAACTTCGGCGACTTTGACTCTGTCTGTCTGTCTGTCTGTTTGTCTGTCTGCTATCTATCTATCTATCTATCTATCTTCTATCTATCTATCTATCTATCTATCTATCTATCTATCTATCTATCTATCTATCTATCTATCTATCTATCTATCTATCTACTATCTATCTATCTATCTATCTATCTATCTATCTATCTATCTATCTATCTATCTATCTATCTATCTATCTATCTATCTATCTATCTATCTATCTATCTATCTATCTATCTATCTATCTATCTATCTATCTATCTATCTATCTATCTATCTATCTATCTATCTATCTATCTATCTATCTATCTATACGCCTTCGACTTTTGCTGTCCTGGCCGTTTCGATAATGGTATCAAAAGCAAATTTGGCATGGCGTAACATGAATGTATGACGAGAATGCGTCACTAGACATATCATGAAAATCACTGCACGTATGTCATGAATGTCGTGATTTACATTTCATGGTCTTGATGCTCTTGCGGTGGTTTTGTTCGCATGACATATTTCAAAACTGCTATGAAATGACTGCATGGTAAGCGACAGACTAACGTGGAAACCATGACATGCATGCCATGTAAGTCATGACTGCACGCCACGCTCATGGTGCGCACGCGGTCGTTTCTCTAGCCTTGCATATACCAAATATGGTATTACGAGATATGAATGGATGACGAAGGTATATGACTTACGCAAATATGATGATTATGAGATGCGTGTCATGTAAGAACATGACTACATGCAAAGCTCATGATGCGCTCGCGGCCGTTTCGCTATAGCTTCACATATACCAAACTTGATATTACGTGACGTGAATGGACGACTAACACCCACACCAGGCGCAAACCTGATGATCACGATATGGGAATAATGTATGGCATAATTTACGTCCGCCTCGGAACGTTGTGCTGATTTTAAAGTGACACATCAACCTTCCTCATTTGTGGATGCTTCGCATATCATCGATTCCCACTCCACGTGGGATCTTCCAATTTTTTTTTTCTTCAACATTAATGGGCCCGTAAACCACCCGGAGGTAGAAATATAGTTGTGGTGTTTCAGGTGTGCCCGAGTTGACAATGAACCCGTATCCACGAGAATTTTTCGATGTTGTACCGTAATAGTCGAGTGGCTGAGTTACACATGCATTTAATGATCCAAAGCGGCCGTCACTCGTTTGCGGCTATTCTGTTCGCTGTGCTTCGGCTGTTGGCTCAGCTTTCTTTTTCTACGATGGTTTCTCCTCGACGGGAACAGGCTGCTGCTGACATCACCAGATTCTAATGGCGATCTCAGTAAGAACCGGACATGGTATTCTTTATTCAATCATCTGGCGGATGTGGTTTAGAGGCTTTTCAAGAGTTCTAGAGCATGTCCACGACGACTAAAAAGAAAGCTTGTTCGCACCTGTGTGCAGCCAGCCGTCAGCATCGATCGTTTGGTCGGTGGCTTCCTTGTTGTTGATGTAACCTTTCATCACTTGAGGACCTCGGGCGCAAATCTCGCCGTCTTCGTTGGGACCCACCGACTCTTTGGTGTCGATGTCGACGATCTGAGGTAGAGAAAGGCGCTTTGGCTTCGTGAGCAAACTTTTGCGGCCACCCCAAAAACGCGACTTACTTTTATTTCTGTCATTGGGAAAGGAGCCCCTATCGATTCTGAGTTTGTCGTAGGCATCGTCATGAAACCAGTCAACTCTGTCATGGAGTAACCTGGGCGAGGCGGGAAATATGTACAACCGACTCATATGATGGAATTACGTTTAGGCACCACAAATGTGATAATTACACCGTTCACAAACCGTGCCGAAAGCAAACAGCTTATGTGAATACATATATAGTATATATAGTATTAGTATATCTAGAGGCACTGATTCAACGAAGCTGAAACTGATGTTTGATAATGGTTGAAGAAAAATCGTGCAGGACAGGTGCATGCAGATATAACTACAATGTAAAAAACAGCAATTAGATTCGGTTGTCAGTTTTAGTCTCACGAACTGGGGCACGCACGAATCTCCTCAACAGGATATATATGTACCTAGCAGCATTGGCACGAGATGGGTTATATAGCATGTGATCCCGGTCTATTAGTTAGAGCAACAAACTATCGCATTGTGAGGCCGATATTCAGTCTCATGATCGGAGGCAATATTTTTTTGTTGCGTTTGACCTCTTCGTGAAGACAGCAGATGCCACGGTCGGCAAAGGCCAAGAGGGATCACGAACGAAGCCTTCGCGTATAAGATTTCGGTCAATTATATAATCCAACTGCTGCATGAAACCATAGCGTACGCGAGAGGCGCTTCTCCGATTGGGGTGTGTTTGCGCTGGTTAACTGCTGCTGTTGCATGGATCATTGCGAACAAACAGTACAGAACATGTATACGTCTCAGATATCAGCACGCTTACCGAAGTAAATGTGGTCCAGCTTGAACTTCTCTTTGAAATCTTCTATAATGGAAGCCGGCAAGACGCCTCCACCGAGCCCGGCGCTCGTCCAGCTGGTCAAGTTGTACTTAGAAGCCAGGGGGCTGTTTGCCAGTGTCATCAGGCGTGTAGGCATGAGCGGCACGTGTGTTATCTGGCAGACAAAATGACGTGCGCATGGTCGCTTGCAACCGCCTCAATATATATATATATATATATATATATATATATATATATATATATATATATATATATATATATATATATATATATATATATATATATATATATATATATATATATACTGAACTTGCGACCTCAGAATAACGCGTTCGATGCTCTACCGCTGAGCTACCACGGTGGCTATCCCCTCAGCCACTTTATTGGGTTTATATGTGAATTAAACGTGGGAGTGTCAGTCAGCGCCACCTGTCGCCATGGAGGCGAGTGTGGCACACTCTTTATGAGCCTGTTCGGCGTCACGTAGCACGTGAATTTATTACGCTGGCAGATGACCGAATAGTCCCTCGTATACAACCTAAGGCACCAAGTCTGGCAGTACGAGACCCTCGTTAATGAATAAGGGAAATAAGTGTATACTTAAGGGCTCGTTGTTCCGTGTTTTGACACAATATTAATGAGATCTAACAGACAATAATACCAAGGAATGTGTAGGGGAAGTTATTAGACAATGTCCTTTCGTCATCAAGTAGTCTTGCTTGTACCGGCAAAGCGTCTTACTTTTGTGTAGCATTAGTTGGTTATCAGCGTCTTGCAAACTGTGTGCAAGAAAACCGCAATATCAACTTTTACGTTGTCCGAAACTTGGGCAGCCACTGCAGCGCTTCTTCTTGCAGGCAGGTGAAATAGTTTTTCACTCCTGTTTATAGCTTCAAGAACAGATAAGCACTACACTGGCATTAAAGGGCCACTCACCAAGTTTGACAATTTTGAGCTGACAAGCACAATGCGTAGACAAGGCGTTCATGATTACAGCTGTCAAAATTTAAAACACCACGCGCCGCGGAAATGGGTCAAATTTCAAAATGAACGCTGCTCCCCCTCCCTTCTGCCGGCGCAGAAGGAGGGGAAGCGCGCCCAGAGAATGAGGGCATGACGTACGCGCATGAATGGCCCTACGTACACGTCAATGCAATGACGTTGGTTCTCTATGTAGACGACTCTGCTCTGACGTTGCAAACAGTGGCACGTGACATGGCGAAAATTATTTTACACGGCATGCATAGTTTATGTAATTTGTTGCTTGAAGAGATTAATAGAGCTCTAGATAAATAATGAGACACAATAAGGGAATGTGAGCGTCTTTTTTCCATTTTTCTCCCGTGAATTGCAACAAGATGCGGGGCTAATGTGTCGGCGTTTCGCATGCGTTCGTGTCCCCGTGGTGAGTGCATCGAGCAGACGACCGCCGTGGAACGCTCTGTTACGACCGGCCCTAGGGAACCAAGCAAGAGGAGTTGCGGGGAGAACCGGTTCTTGACCGACTGTGTCGTCGACCCCCACCTCCCCATTCAGGCTCCCCCCTCTCGCCGGGAGAATTCCGGAATCTGCTGTGCGTTCGTGACCATGTTTGGGCATTTTTTTAGGGCGCCGTGACCATATATGAACATCGTGTTAGGTTGTGCCACTCCATGTGTTGTGAGGTGTGTTTCCCCCTCCCTCGTGGCCAAGGTGCCGGGGCCACCGTATTGGCTGACGATGCGGACAATGCGCCCAGTGTTGGCAACGCGGCGCTATAAAATGCCGAAGACGTTTTGTATCTCTCTCTCTCTCTCTTCTCTCTTTGGATCAGTTGATCACTTCTCCACATGTAAATAAATCTCTGTCGTTCGTTCGGGCGCTTCTTCTCGCTGAATTGTTGGACGATGGATCCTGCAACGGGGCCAGCTACCGAAAACGAGACCGGCAGGACCCAGAGTCCCAACAACTGGATGGCAGCGGCGGGATGCCGATAACCCCGAGAGCGACCACTGGACGGAGTGAGCCCGAAGTCCAACAACGGGACGACAGGAGAAGGATGACACGAGCTCATCGACTTCCAGAGGGAATCGAACGGCACTTTTGAGAGGCACGACGCCGGAGACATGACTGCGAGCTGGGTGAGTGCCGGCTTTCTCTGTTAAATTTTACCAGGCACTTACTCTATGTGTTAAGTAAAAGCTGGTAGAGAGGGGCTGTCTTGGTCATTGGGTTAACAGGTAACTTGCGTCAGGCAGAAATTGTGTGATAGCTTGGTTAAGCTCTTTCTGTCAGTGGCGTCAAGGTTAACAGTGGCAGGGCAGGATTCCATATAAGAGCTTTTTGAAGCTTTATTTGTAGACTAATTTAACGGAAAACTTGAGGCAAGGCAGGAACCTAGAGCTGTCGTTGCCGTCAAGGTTAATTAGTTGCAGGACAGGAATCTTTGTGGAACAGAGACGGCGGTACTGGAGGCAGCCATGAATCTGAAATCCCTGCGAAAGTCCATGTTGTTGCTACTTGCAAGGGAGTTGAATCTGGAGGTGTCGGACTCTCAAAGAAAGCCAGAGCTGATAGCATGAAATGAAGCGCCTCGAGCTAGAGATTAGCCATAATAGTAGAACAGGAGGCAGCGAGGCATCCGGTACCGCAGAGCGGGTCAGGTTCAAAATGACGGACCTAATGAGATCGTACAAGCTAGGGGAGGACATTGGGCTGTTCCTCGTCAACTATGAGAGAACTTGTGAAAGGCAAGGTTTCAGCCAGGATACATGGCCTCAACGCTTGTTGTCCCTACTTCCGGGGGAGGCCTCAGAAGTAATCGCGCGCCTCACGAAAGAGGAGGCTGACGAGTACAGTGAGGTAAAGTCGAGCCTTCTCAAGAAATACAGGTTGTCAGCGGAAGGTGTCAGACAAAAATTTCGCAACGCCGTTAAAGAGAACAATGATTCATACCCGGAGTTTGCTTACAAGTTAATGGCCAACATGGGGGAGTGGCTCAAAGAGGCAAAGGCGTATTGGAATCATGACAAGGTGCTCGAGTGTATCGGTCTGGAACAATTCTATCAAAGGTTACCAGAAAAGGTGAGGTTCTGGGTGCAGGATAGACCGGACGTGAACACCGTAACGAAAGCCGCAGAGCTCGCTGAAGAATTCGTTACGCGCCGCGCCCTCGGGGCAAACAGCGAGCCTAAAAGGGAAAAATTCCTACTACCGAATAAGGCGCCGTTTAGAAAACAACCGACAAGTCTCGCACAAAAGGGTGAGGAAAACAAGGCATCTAACCATGGGGCGTCGGCAGAGGCAAGCAAAAGGGAATTTGAGGCGAAAAAACCGGCGGCTTGTTTCAATTGCCACGAAACAGGGCACTTCGCGAAACATTGCCCGAAAGAAAAGGTGGCCTTTTTATCTATAAATGAAGTCGACGAGAACATGAAGTTGTTAGAGCCCTATATGTACGACCTTACCGTGAACGGCAAGCAGTGTCGGGTTCTTAGAGACTCCGAAGCCACTATGGACGTAGTTCATCCGTCCTTTGTTCAGTCCGGACAGTATTCAGGAGACTGTGCCTGGATTAGACAAGCCGTAGAAGCAAACAGTCAGTGCCTTCTCGTAGCTAAAGTTGTCCTTAAAGGCGCATTTGGTACGTTGGAAACGGAAGCCGCGGTATCGCCATATCTACCCCCTCAGTATCCTTACTTATTTTCAAATAAGTCAGATCAAATGCTGAAGGAGAAAGGTCTAACGTTGGGAGAAGGCATAGTGCAGGCACTGACTAGATCGAAGGCACGTGCGCTGGCTGCGAGAGCAACATTCACTGAGGCAAACAAGCCTCAAATCGACAACGGGCCTGGTTGCGAGTTGGACACCACGGTAACAAATCGACTTGTGCGAGAACAGGCTGCAGAAGCCGTAGTCGCGGAGGCAACCATTCCTAAAGGCGACGATGAACCTCCTCCCGAATTGGAAGGGGTCAATTACGCCTCGTTGACCGAGCAAATAGAAAATGCCGTTGCTCCCAAGCCGATTCCTGGTAGTACAGAGGATAGATCAGAGGGTGACACATTCCAGGTACTAGGAAATACAAAAGAGTTGTGTGTCATGCCAACTTCGGATAATTTCAGTCGGCTGCTGCAGGTGAGCCCCGCTTCATTAATAACCGAACAAAAGGGGGACCCAACGCTTAAGCAATTCCAGGACAGTTCGAAAGAGGGAATCGCCAAACGAAATGAGAGATTCCAAGAGAGGAGCGGCATACTCTATCGAAAATATCTAGATAGGCGAGGAGTAGAGTTTGACCAGGTAGTCGTACCTCAGGCGTATCGTCAGGATTTGCTTAGTTTGGTGCACGGAGAATCATGGTCAGGCCACTTAGGCGTAAAGAAGACGAAAAATCGTCTTTTACAGGAATACTACTGGCCTGGATGCTTTAAAGATGTAGAGAGGTTTGTAAAATCTTGCGATGTGTGTCAGCGAGTGGGTAAGCCGAAAGATAAGGCGAAATTTCCAATGAAGCTGGTACCCGTAATCACGGAGCCCTTTCATCGGTTTGTAATTGACACAGTAGGTCCTTTGCCCAAGACAACTTCAGGCTACCGTCACATCCTGACCTTAATCTGCCCAGCTACTAAATTTCCAGAGGCGGTCCCGCTAAAAGAGCTAAGTTCCGTGGAAGTAGTGAACGCACTTCTGTCCGTGTTTGCCCGGGTAGGCTTTCCTGCCGAGATACAATCAGACCAGGGCACCATTTTCACGAGTGCCTTAACGACAACCTTTCTAGAGTGGTGTGGCGTGAAATTATTGCATAGTTCAGTCTACCATCCGCAGTCGAACTCGATAGAAAAGCTTCACTCCGTGATGAAGCGAGTGTTAAGAGCCTTATGTTTTGAACGAAAAACTGACTGGGAAATGTGCTTACCTGCAACGATGTTTGCACTAAGAACTGCACCACATGAGACAACAGGGTTTACGCCAGCGGAACTTGTTTACGGCCGCAGACTGCGGTCTCCTCTTCGTATGCTGAGAGAGTCGTGGGAAGGTCAGGGTGATGATTCTATAGTAGTGGAATATGTCCTCACCGTATTGGATCGTCTAACAAAAGCCCAAGAACTGACCGAGAGTGCGATGACCAAAGCACAGCAGAAGGCTAAGCTTTACTACGATCGGACAGCTAAAGCGCGACACTTTGCTGTAGGAGACAGGGTCATGTTGTTGAGGCCCTCCCAAAAGAATAATCTTGAAGTGCAATGGGTCGGCCCGGCCGAAATTACTCGAAAATTGTCTGACACTAACTATGTGGTAAAATTACCAGGAAGTCGTAAGGTACACCAGGTGTATCATAGCAACTTACTCAAACCCTATAAAGAGAGGGAAGCCATCGTGAACATGACTTTAAATGTTCCGGAAGAGGTTCCGGCAGAAATCCCTGAATTAGCTCCCGAATCGGACGAAGTCCCGATCGAGAAAAGAGTTGAGGATTTAGTATCAAAGTCACAACTGACAATGAAGCAGAAGCAGGAATTGCGTGGTCTTTTGACCGAGTTTCAGGACAGATTTGTAAGCGAGCCAGCCCGGACATCCGTCCTCACTCATGACATAGAGCTTACCTCGTCGGAACCGGTAAGATCTAAGACGTATCGGGTGTCACCTCGCCGGCTTGAGCTAATAAAAGCAGAGGTTAACAGGATGCTGGAATCGGGCGTGATTGAGCCGTGTGAAAGTGATTACACTTCCCCGTTAATTCTTGTGGAGGTACCCGGCAAAAATCCGCGTCCTTGCGTAGACTATCGTAAGTTAAACCTCATCACCAAGGATCAGACATACCTAATTCCCCACATTGAGGAACGCGTCGAGAGGGTAAGCAGCGCGGAATTTATCTCAACGCCAGACCTAGTGAGAGGTTACTGGCAGGTGCCACTCACTGAGAGGGCGAGCCGGTATGCTGCATTTATTTCACCATTGGGGACATTCCGCCCTAAAGTGTTGAGTTTCGGCCTAAAGAACGCGCCTTACTGTTTTTCAAACTTAATGGATAAGGTTTTGCGGGGTCAAGAAGACTTCGCATTGCCTTACTTGGACGACGTCGCCGTGTTTTCCTCGTCCTGGCCAGAACACTTGGCGCATTTGAGAGCAGTACTGACACGCCTACGCGAAGCAGGTTTAACGGTAAAGGGGCCCAAGTGTCAGCTAGCACAAGCAGAGGTACTCTATCTCGGGCATGTTATCGGTCGAGGGCATCGCCGTCCCTCTGAAATGAAAGTGGCAGCTATCCGAGACTTTCCCCAGCCCCGAACGAAAACCGTTATTCGGGCTTTTCTTGGAATAGCTGGTTACTATCGTAAGTACATCCCTAGATATTCCGACATTGCCAGCACTCTTACTGAGCGTTGCGCAAGAGCGAGCCCCAAATGGTCGACTGGGATGAGGAGAAAGAAAAGGCTTTCCGCGTTTTGAAAGCGGCCTTGTCGAGCTAACCTTTGCTTAGTTCACCGGACTACTCGAGGCCTTTCATAGCCCAATGCGACGCTAGTGATAGAGGCATGGGGGCAGTTCTTAGTCAAAAGGATGAGGGGGATGAAGAGCATCCCGTCCTCTATGTTAGCCGGAAACTCACCCTTCGCGAGCAGGTTTACAGCGCTAGCGAAAAGGAATGTGCGTGCTTGGTTTGGGTAGTCCAGAAACTGGCTTGTTATATTGCCGGAAGCAAGTTCATTGTGGAAGTGGACCATTGTCCTCTCACCTGGCTACAGACCATGTCCTCTAAGAACGGCCACCTGCTGCGTTGGAGCCTCGTTTTGCAACAATATACGTTTGAAATACGCTACAAAAAGGGTGTACTCCATGGCAACGCTGATGGCTTAAGTCGATGCCCCTGACGCGAGAGGATGTCTCGAGAACTCTGGCATTTTTTTTCCTGACCTAGACAAGAGCTAGTGATTGTTTTTTTTTACTCTTTTAGGTGTACTTGTTTGCAAACGTTGAAGACACGGCTATCCAGGGTTTCGGGTTCGCTGTGCTTCCAGTGTTGTTGTTTTGTGTCACCTTAACGTATGAGTAACATTTTGAATAAATTGTGTATTTCCTTTAATATCAGTTAAAGGGGAAAATTGCCTGGTGGAGTTTGGCGGAATTGTCCGGCGCTCACCGGCTGAGTAGTAGTGTTTTCATGTGCGTATGTGATGTCTGTTGAGCCCACAATGAAGCAGGTGGTGCCCTCTACTTCATCAAAGACGGTCGTCACCAAACCGACTGCCGGCGCTGATCTCTCCGGACAGGGGCTGCAAACCTCAGCCCATCGAGATCTTTACCCCCCCCCCCCCCCGCGCGAGAGACTGTTACGACCGGCCCTAGGGAACCAAGCAAGAGGAGTTGCGGGGAGAACCGGTTCTTGACCGACTGTGTCGTCAACCCCCACCTCCCCATTCAGGCCCCCACCTCTCGCCGGGAGAATTCCGGAATCTGCTGTGCGTTCGTGACCACGTTTGGGCATTTTTTAGGGCGCCGTGACCATATATGGACATCGTGTTAGGTTGTGCCACTCCATGTGTTGTGAGGTGTGTTTCCCCCTCCCTCGTGGCCGAGGTGCCGGGGCCACTGTATTGGCTGACGATGCGGACAATGCGCCCAGTGTGGGCAACGCGGTGCTATAAAATGCCGAAGACGTTTTGTATCTCTCTCTCTCTTCTCTCTTTGGATCAGTTGATCACTTCTCCACATGTAAATAAATCTATGTCGTTCGTTCGGGCGCTTCTTCTCGCTGAATTGTTGGACGATGGATCCTGCGACGGGGCCAGCTACCGAAAACGAGACCGGCAGGACCCGGAGTCCCAACAGCTCCTACGCGTTCGCGCACTCATTGTGCTAATCTATTCTACCGCGTCTAAGCCAGCGTTTCCAAACCATCCCGCAGAAACAGGTAGACGACCACAAAATAACGCTGGTCAACAAAACAACGCCGCTCGAGTGCTCGGGGGTTGGACTTGTTTGGGCACGTCATGCGCACGTGACCTCTTGGTCGGATGCCGGAGAGGGTGGGGAAGAGATTTGGCTTGTGAAGGCTACGCGGAGGAGCGGCAAGGGTTACGAGCTCGCCTCCTCTCATCCTCGTTTCGCAGTGCTTCAAAAACCCCGTTTTCTCCGCTCGTGATGAACCGATTAAAAAAATTTGGGGGGCAAACCGTTTCTCATCGGACACCTAAAAACTTCCACTGTCTGACTCAAATTTGGTATGAGACCTGGTGAGTGGCCCTTTAAAGCATTCATGATGATGATGATGATGATAATATGTGGGGTTTAACGTCTCAAAACCACCGTACGTTAATGAGATGCCGTAGTGGGGGGCCCCGGAAAATTTGATTACCTTGGGTTCTTTAACATGCACCCAAATCGGAGCACATGGACCTACAGCACTTTCGCCTCCATCGAAAAGGCAGCCGCCACAGCCGGGATTCGATCCCGCGACCTGCGGGTCAGCAACCTTAGCCCCTAGACCACCACGGTGGGGCATGAAAACATTAAGCTGTTTACTTATGTATTTCAGAAGGCTTGCCATTTTTTCTTACCAGATTCTGCTTCGGCTGGCCTTCATTCAAATTTCAAAGTTTCAATTTCGCCCTTGAAATTTGATTATGATTATCTGCGTGCAACTTTCCTTCGTTCTAAAAAATTGGTATGCCATAAATAATCATGCGCTATAACTTTCTAATATCAACAAACGCACTCAAGTAAATAATTTTCAAAAGTCAATGAATTAGTTTTTGTTAACTAGTCAAGCCAACGCCAACTGAGCTGCGGGAAAGTATTTCTGCTCGGACGCGGAGATTATATGTCACAACGACAATAGCAAGACTGTAATACATAATTTGTTGAAAAAAAAAAACGCATTTCCTACAAAAAAAAACACACACACACACTCTACGAAACTTTCAGCAAACCAAACTGTTTACGAGGAATGTATAAGAGATGTGGTAATTAGAGATGCGAAATGCAAGAAAAAAAACAGAACATTAAAAAACAGTTTTTTTTTGGCGCAGTTGGAAAAAGTGGCCGAAATTTCCGTGGGGTAAAACATAAAAAAATAAAGTTTATGTAACGCACAGCGTTGAACGTGAAACTAAAACATCGCACATGATACCAAAACACCAAATGACGGCTGACAACTCGCCATCGAGATCATATGAAATCAGCTCCGTCGTTCGCGTGTGGTTTGGTGTTGTCATGTTGGGGGCACTTTCTGATGATTTGGTACCCGTTATTGTTCAGTTTTTACTTTCCCTCGTACACTTCTGCAACCTGAGGTGGAAGTCCACTTATAAAGCCGTGCGCAAGCAGATTCTGTAATAGTTCGGCTGATTCATGACGTGTGGATGCACTTCACAGTTGAGGAGACCGGTGGCGGGAAACGGGGACTCGCTGTCTGTAAGCACTGCAACAGCAGCTAGCGGCTTTTCCCAATGCGACATCTATACACGATTAAGAAAGATATACAGATGAAGCCAGTGATACTAACTCTGAATATGAGTTTGTTACCATCTTGATCAATGTTTCCATATCCAAGCCACGATGAAATAGTCTTTTCTGCGTTCTTTGTTTGAACTGCTGTAACAATTTTAGGAAGCCGCACCCATTCAAAGCGAGGTAAATAAGTTCGCAATGATGCCTCTGGCTGCCTTCGATCTGGTAAATGTCGCATTCGTTTGTGAAAAGAGAGAAAGCATTTCATTTCTGTTATTTACATGACGAAAGTTATTGCTTTTGACATTTGGCAATAAACTATTACCATATATGGCAATAAACTATTATCATACGCTAAATAAAATTTGTTCATTTTTCATTATTTTTTCAAAATTTCAGAAAAAAAACGAGAAAAAAACGTGAAGATAACAGGCTTTTCTCCGATTGCTCATAATTTCCGTAAATTTTGCATCTCTATAGTGGTGATGGAAACATCTACGTACGCGATATTTCTCGATGGCAGCGAATATGTCCTCAGTCTCCGTGGAGGACAGCAGCACCTGCGTGCAGCCTCTAAGGCAGTTCCCAAGAACTGTGACAATGCCTGACAGGTGCACAGGTGGCATCCAGTCCAGCGTCACTGGGCGCACCACGCGGGCATTGGCTACTGGCAGCGTGGCCGTCCACCTGCGTCGACGAGTGGCGATACTTGAGGCATCACATTTAGATTGCCTTTACATTTATAAAAATTTCAGTCGATGCTTCTGGCGTTATGCACTATGCGTACACACAGAGTGACGAATACATTGCTTCTGTGAGAAGTTTGGAAGTGACTGTTCAAGGGGAAAATGGTTTCTCCTGTCGCTGACATGTTCTTCGGCAGACGTCAGTCCGTTTACGTGCCTCAATAGGACGCCTAAAGCTCCTTTAAGTATGCAGTTCTCATTTCTCGTAGCGGCGACGACACCCAACAAGTTGTTGTTTTTAACGAAAACTAGAAGTAGATGGTCTATTATGCCAATAAAATTATGAGAAGTGGGCCGTAGAAGAATATTTCAATGCGAAACGGGTCCTGGAAGTCACTGCCTGTGAACCTTTCCCAACGCTGGTGACCGACATTATGTCATAGCGTGTGTGACGTCTTATGCGCAGCACGAAGCAGAGCCGTAGTCTTCTACCACATTTTAAGCTGCTGCAAATTTTTAGCTTAATGCCAAGCAGTATAAGCTAACATATATCGATTGCACGTGCAATTGACCATCGAGCTAGATACTGGTTACGTCACATCTCGCAAGTTCGCCAAGTGTTGCCCGACTCTTAGACCACTCGCGTGTTTATAAAAATATTTAATAATAAATTCAGTGCTCGACCAAGCGCGCTAAAGTTTTGCCAGCTTATTTGCAAATGAACAGGGATGAACCCACATAACACCAATTGTGATCGGAAATAGGGTGTCATGGACTCTATTTCCGGCTGTGTATGCTACCGCATATACAGTAACACTATATATAGGTATGTCCCGATGTCAAAGCCACTGCTTTTGAGGCGGACACATAAAACCATCTAAGAAAGCCTTCCTCCAATAAACCGAGAGTGTACAACGCCGCATGCCTGCACCTTAGTTGCCTTGAGGGGGGGTAGAGGGGCTAGCAATATGAGCACTAGTGTCGTATGCCCTATTTTTTCATAATACAATCAGTCTTTTCCACGCGTAAGCAATTCTTTAAATGGCGGGAACCAAGCAGGATTACAGGTAATACGTACGCGTCCCACATGATCTGAGTAGCGACGAAGTTGTGGTGTGTGAGCATGACGCCCTTCGGCGTCCCAGTGGTGCCCCCCGAGTAGGTGATCACCATGACGGCTTCACGGGGGTCCAGGACAGGCTCGCGAAGAGTGAGCGCTTCGCCTTCGGCCACCAACTCTTCGTACGACTTGCACCCTTCGCAGTCGCCGTAAGACACGACGCCCTGCATATGAACGAACATTTCGTCTCGTATAGAGGCGGAGCGGGCCAGCCTTCGCTTGGAGATCGCGAACCGAAGCTGAGTGGAAGTGCGTGCTTTTGCTCAGCGAAGGTCAAATGGAACACACCACTTAGCGCCGCTCACATGCCCAGTCACTATGCAAATGCTTTCTGCTTTTCGTACCTTGAAGTTTTTGAGTCCCTTGGCAGCTTCAAGCATCTTTGGACAGTGTTCTGGCTCCGCAAATACTAACGACGGCTTGGCATCTTCCAGCTGGTACTTGAACTCTCCTGCGAAAGGTGAGGTTGTTGAAATGCATCCTGCACTCTGCGGAAACCCAGGTTAAGCACATTTTTTGCGAAGCCTCATAAAACGCCTCGGAGTGAATGAACAATATATTAAGGGAAAAAATATTTTCTAATAATCATCATTACCATGATCAGCAGCAGTCCGATCACACCCACTGCATGCAGGCAAAGGCCTCTCCCATGATCAAGAAACAAACTGGGGTTAAGGATATCATAGTTGGAATCAAGAAGAAAAAAAATGGACATGAGTCGGGCACGTAGCACGTAGGCAGGATAACCGCTGGTCATTAAGGGTAGCTGACCGGATTGCCAGAGAAGGTAAACGCACGAAGGTGAGACAGAAAATTAGGTAGACCAACGAGATTTTTAAAAATTTAATGATTATGAGCGGATAAATTAGCAGCGCAGCATTATCTTTCCGATTCCTCTCATGCAGGCGTGGCGTGCAGCATGAGTCAGTCGGTTTCCGTCGGAATTAAGTGTCGAATTCTTGTGCAAACTCGAAAGGCAGGTTTTCAGATTAGTTCAGTATAGTTATGCATCCATTAATAAATCAGCATAGTAAGCGAAAGAAGTGCACTCATCCTATCTGTCGCGCGCATCTCGCCTTGTTCGTGCCGACTATCGGCCTACGTGATAATTCGTTAAAAAGGAAAAAAAAAGTATTATCTTTTCTATTCCAAATAATTTTTTCCGTTGCTCGATCCTTGGCCAATCCCGTGTGTATAGGTGTGAGCCATAATGCGAGAATCTACGTTCGGCAATGCCCGGAACGACACCTCCGGCGGCCGGGTATATAGACAACCTCGCTTACGAATTGTTTCGCCGCGCACCGACAGCAGCGTGCATCCAGCTCGGATGACCGCCAGCGCAGTGACGAGGAACTCTAGGATGAGTCCGCAACGCACGCCCACCAAGTCGCCCGGCTGGAGGCCAAGCCGCTGCAGGGTACATGCCAACCTGTAGCTGGCTTGCAGAACCTCGCGGTACGTCTGTCGCCGGCCGCTCACTGCACCAATCTGGGACAGAAACATTCATTGAATCAGAACAATACGGAATGAGTTCCTTAAGTCGTTTTCGTCTGATTGCAAAATTTGGTGTATATTTCACAGATGGAAGTTATTGAATAAGAACAAGTTTGTGTGCTAAGTTTCACAGCGATGGTATATTAGTCATGACTTCATAACGGCGGTACTGTTTCATTCAATCTAGTCAAATAACGTAGTTTTATTTTGTTTTGTAAAAGAATAAACCATTTACAGTGATCTTAAATGTCAAATTATAGGATGGCTTGCGATCACGATGCTAGTAGCTCAAGTAAACATCACGTGCGAACATTGAAGGAAACATTCGCACGACGACATGACTTTTTGACACCGAAGACACTTCTGTATGTGTAGCTGTATTCGCGAGCGCACCGGAGCTCATTCAGGTAGCGGTGTCGAGACGATAGCGCGTATGTGTACTTAAAAGGGGTCGTGAACCACCTTTCCAGGTAATAACCGAATGACCTCAGTACCGGAGTGCGCCTCGGTGGAACAGTGCAGGGTGCTGACCCAAAGGTCGCGGATTCGATCGAGGTAAAATGGTATCCGTGCTATGTCAGTGCACGAACACCAGATGGTCGGAGCCCTCCTCTGCGGCGTCTCTTACGATCGTATCGTGGTTTTGGAATGTAAAACCCCAGATAATATGAATATATTATCATTAGCGTCGCAGTTGATTGGCTCACGATCGATTGCCGCAAAAATTTTCTCGATTACGCCGAGCGGAGCCACTGCAGGGTTCGTTACACGCTTTTGGCGCCTCTTACCTCGACACGACGAGAGCGATGTATCGCTAATAGTCTGCTACAGACCTATCCCATGTTTGTAAACAGTGGCAGGCGCCGTCAACATATACTGCAGCGCCGTCGCGGTGCGTATACAGGAGGCACCCAGGATGAATGGATGGATGTCATGAGAGTCCTCTTTATAACGGATTAATAGATTCATAAGTGGGATTCAACGTCCCAAAACCACCATATTAATATGAAAGACGCCGTAGTGGAGGACTCCGGAAATTTCGACCACCTGGAGTTCTTTAACGTGCACTCAAATCTGAGCACACGGGCCTGCAGCATTTTCTCCTCCATCGGAATTGCAGCCGCTGCAGCCGGGATTCGATCCCGCGACCTGCGGGTCAGCAGCCGAGTACCTTAGCCACTAGACCACCACGGGGGGCTCCTCTATATAACAGGGTGGTGACCAGTGTCACCAGGACCAAAAAATTAATGAAGAAATGGAATGGAATGAAAAAACTTTATTTAATTAATGAAGAAAAATCCTTTTCCTTTCAGTTTGTTCAAAGTTGGCTTAATGCCTTAGTAAATTTTGATTAAACATATAAAAAAATAAAAAAAACTAAAATTAATAGCCCGGTTCTCTGGTCTTTACGGCAGAATGTTCTCATTTTTCCCACAGTTAATTTTTGTCCTTTTTATAGTTTTCTGCTACCAATACTCTCTCATCGTCTGCCGTGTTCAGCTTTCCATTGTCGTCCCTAAACACCAAGGCTTCTTGTAGGCTCGTGCCCAAGCGCACATCTGGGTGTACATTTCCACATTAAATGAGAACAAGCTCCGTCGTTTTCTTATTTTCCCACAACATATGCAATGTTCTTCGTCTTTACTAAATATCGCTTTAATAAGGCAACCTGATCTCGCTTCAAACAGTATAAGTGCCTCCCCTTGAATTATTAAAAATTGCCTCTCTCCTTATTTCAGTTTTGCCCTTTTGGTTATTATTCAGAACCGGTTTTTCCCTATCGCTGCCATTCAGTAAATTCTTCCCGCCTCTGTTACTTTTCTTTTAACACTCTTTGTTGCCACACTTCTTATACTGCCAGCCGCATACTTACTAGTAAGCTCCACAGTTCTTTTTCTTCGCTGTGTGTCAGCGTTCTTCCTGTATACAAACAACAAAGCATTTCGCTGCCTATCTACTCACTTTCATATTCCTTAGCTTCTCTTCCAACCTTATTTTGCTCTGCAAAACTTGTCAACCCCATATCGCCCTTTACAGCCTCATCTGCCGTCTTCCCGTGAGCACTTAACGCCAGGCGTACCACAGTCCTATGATTCACATCCATTCCTGATTGCACGTGCACACCACTGAACTCACCACAAAATTTTTAGGTTACTAAACACCCTGGCCCAGACGGTACTCCGAATATGCTTCTAAAGTGGTATTCAGAATCATGTGCTATTTATCCTACTGTTATATCAAAAAAATAATATCTGCAACAGTTTCCCAGCCGGGCAAATTTGTGAGTGCCTTATATACTCGTATTTAAGTCCGTATACAAGCAAACACCAAGTAATAGGTCATTATCTTTGCTTTTTTACGTAAATGCACACAATACACCTCCCTTATCACAGCACGACTTTCATGCTGGCTGTTCTACTGCTACACAGTTGCCTGAATTCATGCACTACATTACTTATTTCTTTAGTGACCAAAGACAGATTGATGCCATATTTATTTACTATCCTAAGGTCTTTTACTTGGTTTGTCATGCCATATACTTTTAGCTTCTTGACAAATTTTTGGCGACAACAATCTGGTTGATTGAATAACAGGTTATTTGCGATGGCGTGCTTTAAATTTGTTCAGTTCAACCACTCGAAGTCATCTGACTTACAGATCACATCAGGGGTGCCTGAAGGCTCGGCCTTGGGCCACTTTTTGTTATTTTTAAAATGACGTAGCAGAAATTATCAGTAGCACTCAAATTAAACTTAGAATGTATGCAGATGACTGCGTTATATGTAAAATCATCTATAATGCTGAAGATCAGAATGGGCTGAATAGTTTTATTTTGTTGTTTTGTAACCGCAGTGAGACATGGAAAAGGTCTGATAACTTGGAAAGAACTGTACCTTTTCAAATAAGAAACAACCTCAGCATTTTACATATACTAATAACGGTGCTAGTCCAGTATGTGTTACGGCGTTTAAATACATCGGTGTAACTCTCACAAGAAATTCAAAATTGCACAGCACGCCGAAACAATCTGAAACCAAGTTCTTCGAAAACTTTGGTATCCGACGCACGTTGGTTCTTTGTTAACAACTTTATTGGTAGACCGGCAGAGCTTTCGCCGACCGGGCTTTATAAGTCTCCCACGTGGGGACGTGAAGACCTTGCCTGACCACCGCTTCGACAAACTCAACAAGAGAATGTGGACTTTGGCCAAACTCAAATATGCGTCAGTTGTTTGGTGACTTCACCACAGACATGACATGAATATGTTAGAATCTGTTCAAAAATTGGGGGACCCTTAAGCTTCGCCTTTAAGAGTTAAACACGATAGCGAAATCCGGCCCCTAGTGCACCCTTCCACCACCAAGTGCATACTTATTATTGTTACGTACGTGTCGTGCCAGTTGACACTGGCACGACACGTACGTAACAATATGTTTTGTTACATACACACGCACGCACACAAGCACGCACACAGTAGATTAGACCAGCATGCACTATTATCGCCGAATAGGCTCGTTTTTGTCGTCAACAAAATGCGTTAAGGGGCCCTGAAACACTTTTTCAAGTAACCATGGAATAAATTCACTAGAAGAGCTTATTGCCTCATGAATTCAACGCCGCAAAAACTTTACGAATCCGTCCTGTGCGAGAGGATTTGCATAGGTTTGTCGCATGCCGCAATTGCATTAGCTCTTCTCTCGCCCCGACGAAATCACTGGAAGCTAAGCAGAGAGGGGTGGCAGGGCAAAGAAACTACCGCGCCTCGTGACCTTGAGAATTTTTTTCTTCGAATGCGCGGCTTTCTCAGTGTGACCGCGCGCGCACGCGTGAAACGGTAGCGGTCTCCCTCGGTTATCTCGGTAACTTGATTTTTCGGTCACAGACGCACAGACGATTTCTCGCTCACAACCAACGGGGCCGACGCCGGCGGCGGGTTTTCTGCGACACGAGCCTCCTCTACAGTTCCGAGTGTTCTAGAACCCATTTACTTCATTGCATCTTCTGCACACCATACACGGCGATTTGATCCCCTAATTCTTCGTAAAAAAGCAGTATCGTTAAACAAGAGAAGAAAGACAACAGGGCAGAGCGTTGTTACAACATGAGCGTTTACTTCTTGAGAACAAATATATACGCCTTGGAAATATAGTTATGATGAATAATAAGACTTGAGCCTACCAGCTCAAGTTTCATTCCTTTAAAGATCCTCTAAATATTGGGCCAGTTCGATATATTCGGAATTATTTTCGTTTTTTTTTTCTCACAGAACGTAGATTTATGGAATTAGCTTGATGAGGTTTAGCGCTGACTCAGTGCTGAGCACTGTGGAAAAAAAATTGCGCAAATGTGCATTTTGTTAAACTCTATTCTTAAAGGTGCTGAACATCTGTATTACACTTGCTATGTCTCAAAAACTTGACACATCAGTATTGGTAAATAAATAAAATAATACATGTTCCTATCACATTATCTGCTTCGAACTTTCGTGAAAACAGATTTTTTTCTTTTAATTTTAGGGACAAGTTTTTATCTAGACCAGAGTTGCCATAGATGTTTGAGAAAAATTCGCCAAACAACGAGTGAAATGTCGCCAAATGTAGCCACTTTTCTTCAAATGTCGCCAAAAAAAGTCGCCACTCTATAGGTGTGGTGTGCTTGGTAATAATAATTTCTAATTATGCATATCGCCATGGAGAACGGGTGCCATATATAAATCCTAACTCATACTGGCGTTTTTCGATGCCGGTCACATCACTCGCTTCACCGTGAAAGCACTGAGCAAGGCCGTGCATGCACCAGCACCATCCCTGAATACTAGCGCCGCATAACAAAAGTTTGAGCTGGTTTCAGTTGTAGCGAATACAGGATGAAGCAGTCGCTAAATAAAGCAAGAGAAAAATTGCGTGCGTAGCCTTTTTATAGATTTGAGTGGAATCATGTGTCTGATAATCGAACAACTTAATTACAAAACAACAGAAATAAATTCCAAAGTA